GCAGGAAAGGAAGGGGAAATGGTGAAGCAAGTACAGGATGATGTTGTGAGAATGTGTGGAGAAAGCAAAGCCTTAACTTTGACCTGAGATCGAGTCGCACCTAGTGGCCAATGCCAGGCGCAGTGCTAGACAATAAAGTACAAAAAGAGGGGTGCAGAAAGTACACGCTCTGCTCACAGACTGAGCCAAGGTGTCCGTTCTAAATAATAATAACATTAATAATAATAATAATAATAATAATAATAATAATAATAATAATATAGACATCCAGAAGTAGAGAAAGAAACATTTCATAAAAAGAAAAGGCAATTAACAAAATGTAGTGTTGCAGAAAACCTTTCGGGGGTCATGTTTTGTGATTTAAATTGGATATTTTCTGAACAGTTTAAGGGTATCAGAAATGGACTGTTGTGGAGACCATAAAATACCAAACCTGAAGGATTTCTTTATATATATATTTTTTGGATGTTATATATATATATATATATATATATATAAAACATCCAAAAGAGGAAAAGAATAAAATAGCAGCTTTGTTCTGTACAGACATAGAGGCAAACATTTTTTTAACCGTAAAAAGGTTTTAAAAAAGTGACAAAAACCAATGAGTGTATAAAAACGATCCTGCAGTCAAAAATACAACTGTAAGACCTTTATATGTGTTTGAAATGTAGATAAACTATTGACTGTTCTAAAAGGAGACCACCTGTGACTTGAAAGCTGTCTCTAGGCTACTAAAATCACCTCATTTCCTGTCTCTTGCGTTGTATTCGGTACAGCAGTGCCGGCGAACCATGTTCACCTCCCACTGTGAAATGCACAATTGAAAATCTCAGAAAACAAAGGTTAGAAGAAGAAGTCAAAGTGGAGCCCGAGTTGTATTCGTAAAGTATAAAGTTCAGTGATTTGCTCATTTGAAGTGTGACCTTCTGATGCTTTGATGTTTTCAGTCTTTTTTTTTTTTCTTTTTTCTTTTTTAAAATAAATTAAACAAAGACAGAGGCTGTGGCTCAGAGTTGGCTGTGCTTCAATCACATGCCTTCTTCCCTCAGATGTTTGAAAGATGAAAGTAATGAAGGGCATGTAGGTGGGCAAGCAAACTTTTGATTAGCCAATCAGCACCACGGCTTTTCTCTTTTTCTGAAAATTTGTCAGGTGTTTGTAATGTTCTCACATATTTAGTGTTTTTTTAGTCTTGCTGACCACTCAGTCACATTTTAAATGGCCATGGATGCAGACTGTAGCAGACATCCAATTGACCTAAAATGCACATCTTTGGACTGTGGGAAGAAGCCAGAGTACCTGGAGAGAACCCGCAGAGGGAAAACATGTCAACTCCACACAGTGTCCGCAGCCAGCGTTTGAACACAGAACCTTCTACTTTGTGAGGCGACAGCTCTTACCACTATACCACTGTGCCGCCATGTGATTGGTGTGCACACAGAAAAAGAGAAAAATGATTACATAGGCTGAAAACAAGTCAGCCAGTCCTCAGTTTTGAGATGGAACCAGTAAAATCTGCGTTAAACATAGAAAATAAGTGATAACCAATGGTGAAGGCAGCAAACTCCTACACACAGCTGCTCCAGGAGCAGTGACAGATAAACATGAAGACTGAAAACAGCCAGGCAATCCTGGCATTATCTTCCACACAGACACAACTCTGAACCACAACCATCAGTAAGAAGGGACACCTTTTAGGAAACTGAAGAGAAAGCATGATTTGGCAATAGTCTGGCAGAAAATAGATCTTCCTCTACCATTCTGACCTACACAGGACAAAATCCCATAGAAACATCAACAGTAAAATAAAAAAAAAATTTAAAAAAAAAGATCTTAGAGGATCAGAAAAGTTGGAACCTTTCTAATCCTCACGCAACATGAGGCAGTCTGCTCATGTCAATACAGTCATTTTGATGGAAAGTAATTTTAGAAATGGAGCTATACCATATTATGTATTATGTGTATAAATACACACTTGAATATCCATCACATCACCTCTGAAATCATGAGGAAAAAGTGCTCTTCTGTTGGTTTTGCTGGCAGATATGCTTTAAAAAAAAAGAAGAAGAAGATTTTCTTAAAGTTCATGTGTAAATCTGTAAGTCAGGATACATGCCTGTATCGTTTTCCTTCTTTAAGGACTCTTACATAACAAAGACTCAGATACAGGCTGCGCAGGATGGAGTTTCCCAGTGTTGAGCTTGAGCCACCAATTGCTCTGTGCTATCTTGTTTTCCATTTCTTCCGAGTTTATGTTTGACCTTAAGAGTGGAGAGACCATCTACTGGCAAACAGTAGAAGAAAGCAATTTCTTACCTCATCCATCCCTCCTTAAGAGACAGATGAGAGGTCTGTGATACCCTGTGTAAAAGGGGAAGGAGGAGAGGGCTGGTCTGATATCAGCAGGCTGATGACTGGGGCAGTGGCAGCGCCCGTTCGTTCTTTCTGCCCCCGTTCATGTGTGCATAGGGTTGTATCTCATCAAAACTGGGCCGCAGCACCACGACAGGCCCGTTGGCCGAAGCATGTCCTGAGTGCTTGTCCAAGGCTAGTCCTGGAGACGCCAAGGCTGAAGCAAGTGGGCCGGGAGGAGAGTTAGAAACAGGTCCCAGTAATGGCGTACTCGGGCCTTGCATGGGGGATAACTGATGCGTAGAAGGAGGAGACATGCCTCCTGCACACCCAGACGAGGAAATGACAGCAGTCGACGGCTGCCTCACGGATGAAGGGTCCAGTGGAATGTTCTCCATGTTTTCGACCTCCATGTCCAGCTCCTCTGTGTCCGGCGGCTTGTTCTCCTCGCTGTAGAAGAAGCTCACTTCCCTGAAGGGAGGATCCAGTTCGTCTTTGATGCTGTTGATGATCTCCAAGAAGGACGGACGCATCTTAGGGTTATACTGCCAGCACATTCGCATCAGTTCAAACCTGAAAGACAAATGACAAAATCATCATTTTTGTCATTTCCGTGTAAACATTTCTCACACACCAGCTTGAACTGACAAACAGAAACTTCTTAAACTGCAACATATAAGCAAACTTTACAACCGGTAAGGACAGGAGGGATGAAAACAGCATGTGGCCCTGTAAGTCTTGTTTCTGTCCAGCAGGTGGCAGAAGAAACTGAAGTCCCCTTTAGGGCTTTTTGGCACTACAACTCAGTTCATAACACTGATGGTGAAGAAAGAACAGAGACTGTAATATCAGCATTGGTAAAGTGTGCTACACTAGATTTTATGCTTCACAGTTTTTTCTTTAAAAAAAAAGAAAAAAAAAGGATGTAGTTATTGTAAATACCCGTCCTTACCACTTGTAGCTGCTCATTAATTCGAAGCAGGTTTGTTGGCAGGTAATCTTGGTGAGCATGCCTTCTTTTTAAATACTGTCGCATAAAATTATATAATTAAAACCCTGTAAGACTGTGGCCAAAAGACTAAATATATGTGCGCGCGTTCCAAAGTTGCTGCAAGCTACAAGGCTTTCAGTGGCAATAATATAGTAAGTAAATCCACAAACTATTTTTATGCCAGTTCAATTGTTTTGAAATTTTGCCGTTTTTTTTTTTTCCTTCTATTTTGGGGGGTTCTGTTTGTTTTTTCTTTTTTAACAACAAATACAGTAAGATCAGAAATGTAGCATGCACTCAGCAGAACAGTCAATCATACTTAAGGTTACTGTGTCAGGCCAGCAACCGAGCTTTGGGAATGTCAAAACAACATCATAAACGGGAGAATTATTACAGTTTTGTGTGGTGCTGGACCGCACACCACAGCTCCAATTATACACAAACAAGCTCAGAATACTCTCTAAGGCCCG